CTCTTCTAAAGTACTTGGTTTGTACGGAGATCCATCTCCTTCCCAGATGTGTCTGCAGCTAGATATTGGTTAAGCCTCATCTGAGTCCACAGTCTAAGTCTTCCTTGATTGTGTCCAGTAGCTTATTTGTGTCTGTGCTTAGAATGTAGATTTTTCCCAGTCATCACTCAGTTTAGCTGGGATAAATTTCTTTTTAAAATGTATCCATCAGAGCTGTCTCTGGGCACGTTTACACTATTTTTAAACCAATACAAAATTAACTGCCCAATGTAAGAAATGAATTACGCTGTGCATATTAATGTAACCCCAACCACCCCCGATGCAAACGCCTGAGTTGACAAATGGTTTTTGTACTGTGCTCTCAAAATCAATAAACTTGGTCTCTGTCAAACTGAGAGGAGAAGCAAATTCCAGAATTGAAAGCTCTCTGCTGCAAATGTCCTGTTCCCTACTCATTCAAATCAGGGGACTGTAGCAAGAGCACATCAGCCAGTCTGAACTTGATAAAATCAAAAGATGCATAGAGAGGTTCTCGATTCCCAGCTGGTAGGATCGTAGATCTGAGAGATGAGAGAGAGGCACCAGGCCATCTGGTTTATTCCTTCAGCAAGGGCAAGCCAGTTCTCCATAGTAATATGTAGTGCTTGGTCTGTTTATCAACAACATTATGCTCAGCTGTACCCAGGACAGAGAAATAGACTGTCCCTGCCTGGCAGTAGTAAAAGATACACACAAGATGGGGCAGGGACACGCTGGGAAGTTCCAGAGATGGGGTTTACTTGGTTGGTGGTAATCTTATTTTAAATGTCTCAAATGGCCAGTTTCCTCTGTTCTCCCTTGGAGGAAATGTTCCACTTTTTAATACAGAGTAGGTTCATAAAATGGGTTTCTTGTAGCCAAATCTTTTGGGCATTGTCTGAGTAGCTCTGTGTAGAGGAAGGAGTAGAACCTTATTTCCATAACTTGTACCCATTTGAAAGTAGGACCCACGGGTCAGTGTGTGTGTGTATCTCTCGCTTTCCCTGCTTGTTTGGATTAAGCTGTTTGTTTCAGAGGTGTGAGACGCTAACCTTCCTTCTCTTCTGTCTGTCCAGTTTCAGTCGAGGTGATTAGCTGTCCCCAAAATAGTAACTTGCTTAGAAGGTGGCTATACCTATTGTAACCAGCCAATAAGTACGATAGCTTCTGGCTTGATCTGTTATGTGTTTGGGAGATGGAGTATAGTAATTATGCTGGTGTTGGTTGCAACTCCACAGTTCAAGAGGAGTGCAGTTCTGTACCGAAGGCAGGGGTGGAACCTTTGTTTTATATGAAGAATACAGTATATCCTTTCCAATCTTACAGCATGTACTCTGAGTTCAGAAAGAATTGTCTGAGAATTTTCAAGGAAATGGGTTAGTAGTTTGAGTTTAAAGGCCCAGTTGTCACTAATCTTAAAGTTCAGCGCCTGGCTCTCATTTTCTTCGGCCCAAAGAAATTATAACGGAATAACACTCTTCAAACTTTCCATATAGTTCAAATGCACTGAAATCTCAGTGTGAGCCACGTTTGAATGAATTAAGTTTTAATTAAGTTAACTTATAAACAGTTGTATCAAATTGTTATGATTATACAGATTAGGGCCAGACCAGTAGCTCATGTCGTTTTACATGCAAGCACTGAAGCTAATGTGCGTGGTGCAATTGCATTGCTTGGAATGAGTCAGTGGAGTGAAGGGGCTGTACATGCGTGTCAGGGTCTCACTGATAGATGACTTGAACCCAACTGTCACTAGATTGGCCCCAACTGTCACTGGCCCTAAAGGTTCCAGGGCTGTGTGCTGGCTTCTGTGTTTCATCGCAGGGAGTCTAGCTCAGGTGGAACGGATCAGGTTAGTCAGACTGACTCCTGCTGGGCAAGGTGGTTTCTGTGGGGAGCAAGGGGGAAAGAGGCGATTGTATATGCCCCATGATTCTCTCCCCTCTGCCCTGTTCCCCTTACAGAGAGCTTAAGGGACTCTCTTCAAGTCACACAAATGTGTGGCAGAACCAGGAACTGAACCCAGAGCTCGGGAAGCAATGTGATAGGGCACTGGATTGGAAGTCAGGAGACCTGAATTCTAATCCCTGGTCTGCCACTGACCAACTATGTGCCCATATGCAAGTCACTTAGCCTCTCTGCTTCTATTTCCCCTCTCATCCTTTGACTGTCTCGTCTACTTATACTGTGAGCTCTTTGGGGCAGGGACTGGCTCTCTCTGTGTGTATAGCACCTAACACAATGGGGCCTTGAGCTTGGTTGGGACCTCCAAGTGCAGCTGTAATCCTGAATCACAACCTAGTACCTTAACACAAGATCACCCTTCCTCTCAACCCCACTTCGCTACGGTGATTTGAAGTTACGTTTCATCAATTGAACCTTGGGTCAAGATCAAGCCACAAGTAAAGTGCCTGTCAGCCTAGCTCCTAGCAGTTATGATGCAGACGTCAATTTTCTATGTATATTGTATGTGCTAGGGTGAGGATGTGCAGCAGGTGGGGGGTCCACATTGGAGTTGAGATGCATCGACAGTCGCATCTGGGAAACCTTGCCTGGCACCTGTCCATAGTGTGCTTTGCTTTAGCGAGTTTCTATTAGGCCTTGGCTACACTCGCGGATTCACAGTGCTGCCGCGGCCTCTCCGAGGGGAATAGCTTGCAACGCTGCAGGCGCTGATTACACTGGTGCTTTACAGCGCTGCACTCGCTGCGCTCAGGGGGGGTGTTTTTTTCACCCCCCTGAGCGCAGCAAGTGCAGCGCTGTGAATTGCCAGTGTAGCCAAGGCCTAAGAAAGGAAATTGAAATCTGGCTTTGATTTTCAGAAATCCTCCCTGTTCCTCACCTCACTAGCATGCGCCTCGGCATGAAAGCCATGTCAGATTGGCTTGCATTGGGAAGTTTTTTCTTTTGTCGTAGTCAACTGCTGCCATCAGGATCTCTTCTCCCTTCGTTTTGGCAGAGCTGCCAGGTTCACAAGCTTTGGAGCCCCTCCTAATTGCATTGGTTTGGTGGTATAACAAAAGGTAATGTGGGGGTGGCTGTCTTCCAGCCTTTCACAGCAAAGCAAATGAATGTGCCGAAGTCCTTGCTAAATCAAAAGCAAAACAATAATACGAAAGGCACTGAAAAAGGTTGGGCTATCATATTAGCAATTCTGTAGTGGCTTTCCGGTGAGGATCTTTACTAAGTTGCAGTTAGTCTTTTTTACAACATTGCCTGTGAGGAGATGGCATCCCCATTTTACAGATGGAAAAACTGGAGTCCAGAGAGGTGAAGTGGTTTGGCCAAAGACCAGATGAGGATCCAAATTCATCCCTGGCGTAACTCCATTTAAGCTAGTGGACAAACACTGGGAACGGATTTGGCCCAGTGAATGTGCAAGAGCTGGGAAAGGTGCCTCGTCACTCAGAATTGAGAGTGATTAGAGCTGGACTGTACTGGATTTTGTTAATTCTCTCTGTAAGAGCACATGGGTAGGGACCTGCTTTAGGGCTTCTTAGCAGTAGGTAAACCAGTTGCAACATCAGTAAGGATAGAGAAGAAATTCAATGGTAGCATTTCATAGGCTATTGTGAAAAGTGATTTCTGTGCTGCCCTTTGCTAGGGTTTTACCTTCAATGATGTGGCAAAAGAGGGGTACATTTAGTCATAAGTGGGAGAGAACTATGTGCCTATTTGCATGTAAATGCAGCCCATCCAGTGTATTTACTGTCCTGCAAGTGTATTAGCTATAGGCATGTTGTGTTAATGAACAACTAGCTATGCAAGACATTTTCATTGCTGGATAGTATTTAGGCTGCCCAATGATGTCAGTCTCCTCTCCCCAGTTGATTTTTCGTGTAGCGTGGAAGTTCACTGCCTGTGGGTTTTGTGGCCTTGACATCACATGGAATTTCTGACTTTCCACAAGGGCAATTCAGCCGGACCATGTGAAGCGTTCAGTTTTTAGCATGAAAATGTACTGGGTGAGGATTGGCGAAACTGTTTGAATGAACATCTGTTGCAACAGCCAGATTACCAGAAGGATTACTGAGCACATTCCTCCCTCTGTAGAAGGAGTAGAAGGGAGTTAACGCGTGCATGCAGCGTGTAATAGCAAAACCAAAAGCAGCTCATATAATGTAGGCCAAAGGCTGCTGACTGGTGGACTGGAAAGACTCCTATCAGTTCACAACCCTTACCTGCCTAATTGTTACAGGATACAAACACTGGGAGTGTCCACTCGAGAGCATAATCAGGAGACCTTGCTTTGTTCACTAATTGGTGCCACTCCAAGATCTCCCTAAATCGTGTCAGCTCAGAGCCATTCATCCCCATAAAACCCTTCCTGGGTTAGTATTCATGTCCCTGCCCCTCCTTTCAAGTTCTAGTGCTCCAGCCTAGCAGCATAGTATGCCCATGATTGGTGTAGCTATGGATACTTAGTCCCAAATGGAAGGAGGGTTGTGGCCTTCCCCCCCCCTTTTGGAAGATCGTTAGTGGTTGAGTTTTCCCAGGGGACTGTTGGTTCTTATGGGGTGAACTATGATTCTGCTTTGTAAGAATTAATATTTCCCCACATATAGCATATTTGATCCTAGGGTCCTATTGTGCCTTCCGAATGCTAATTTCTCTGGTGCCCTTACAGCAGTTTTATTTTCACTCCATTGTTAGGATTGAACTGGGATTCCTCAAAACCCAATCTATCAAATCCGCCCAGGTTATATGAGCTACTGAGAGTTGAATCCTTGGCCTCTTGATTATGCTACAGCTCAGTAGAGCAGTGTACTAGCATATGAGATCTAGAAAATATTGTTAGTAGGTTTATTATATTTTGCCCTGTAGACATCTGTCCTGCACAAAATCACCTGTTAAAATCAATCTCTTGCATGAGTCGACTTTAAGAACCAGTTCACCCCATGAAGGCGGAATCTGAGACAACTCTGAGAAATGCACCTTGCTAGGAATGAGAGAAAGTCACTGCTCTCCTTGTCTCTTTACAGGCAATATTTTAATACCACTTCCGATTTTTACATGAATTCCATCAGCAGACCACCTTTCACAGAGACGACCTATGCATCTATGGGCCTTGCTGACTTCTTACCAAAAAATGGTGATTTTCCTCAGGTAGGTGCCTAGTTTGTTATGATTGTCTGTCTTTGGGTGAAATGGATATTTTACATTTTTTTTGGGGTGGGGGGGAGGAGACTGAGGGCAATGCATTGTATGTTTTTAAATAGCCAGTGCAATGTGTGTGTGTGTGTGTTTTGAATACTCTGATGCCACAGAAGCATTTCATTGGCTTGGTGGCTGCGCAGTGGTGTTAAATTCATAGGTGATGCAAGTTGCAAGTTGATAAAGTAATGTGACATACATACCAAAGGAAATGCAGGGAAAGATGTAAGTTAAAGAAGGTTCCCACTAGTTAGACGATCACTTAATCTTCTCTGAACTAGGCTTTTAGGGTTTCCACCTCATGTATGTTGGACGGGCTGTTATCTCACTACTTAGTAGGTTGAATTCATGAATAGTGACGTTTTATAGGGATATAGATTCTGAGAGAGCTGCACCTAGCAGAGAACTTATAACTCAGGCCCCTCCTTCCTCCCTGGAATGTGCTCTCCTCTGACGTGTAGGAGTATGTGAATTGGAGCTGAAAAGCACCAGTCATCCTGGTTGGGTTGGTACCTCTATGGAGTAACAGATTTGCTCATCCTCCAGGGATCTCATTGGTATGAAATGAGCTCATCATGGTAGACTTGCCTCTGGTTGTGCCTCATGGAAAGGTTGGTCAGTCAGGACTGGGAAACAACTTCGCATGGGAAAGAGCTGACTTTTGAAAAATGAAAAAATGGTTAAATCCTTCCCAGGAGTTCAAAGGAGTACGTGGTGTCTGGCTTGCACGAGTTCTTTGCATTAGCTTCTCCCAAGACATTGTGTGGACCCAGTGAGCAAAACCAGATAGAGCTGCCCTGCTGGCTTACCAAGGTAAAGGCCCAATTGAAGTTAGTTCCAGAGTCTGGTCCCATCTCCAACACTCGCACCTCAGAATGAGTTATGCTATCAGTCATCCTCTGGGCAGTCTGTACTGTACCTAAAGCTAGAGCCCTGTCTGGATACCACATCTGATCTGCATCCGTCAGAATCAACCCGCGATCCGCTAGCCTAGCTGGTAGTCTTTTACCTGTATCCGCACCTGCAGCTGCAAGCCGTCTCTCAAGGGTGGGCTCTTGCAGGAAAGAGGCATCATGAGGGAACTGGGGGTAAGGGGCAGCGCGGTGGCAGGGTCTCGAGGAGAAGGGGCAGTGCAGAGGGAGGGACTGTGCGGAAGGAGCCTCGCATTGTGTGCTGCTCCTGGGGGCTCGCGAGCGACAGCGCATGGCAGCAGCAGTGCATGTTGCATTAGAGTGGGGTGGAGGGGTTGGGCGCCGGGGCCCTGCCCACTCCAATCCCTGTGGCCAGGGGCAGGCCCTGCTGCCCAGGAGCTGGCAGGCCAGGACCAGGACTGGGTAGGGTTACCATACGTCCGTTTTTTCCCAGACATGTCCGGCTTTTTGGTACTCGAATCCCCATCCGGGGAGCTGTGCTGGGGAAGCGCCCGGCCGGGGGCGCAGGGTCTGGAGATCTGGGGGCTGCCCAGCAAACCCTGAAGCCGGTAGCGCTCAGGCAGCTTCGCGTGGCTGGGAGGGAGGAGGAGGAATGTGGGGCACTCCGGGGAACGGGCAGAGTTGGGGCGGGGACTTTCG